CCAAAAATTTACAGAGCAGCAAATATTAACTATGACATTTATGACACACTTTTCTTCTTGCTTTCTTGCAAGACAACGAACAGCGAACAACAAATACAGTGGGAGACAACAAACAACAATTTATTGTCACGTGCCAAAAAGTACAAACACACACATATACACTCAAAAAATTGTATAACTTTGGCAAACAAGAAAAGTAAGTGAAAAACGAGAGAGAGCGGAAAATGAACGGGGAAAACAGCTTAGACAACATCAACTTCTTGCCAACTCTGCACGGAGTTTTCCCAGATAACTACCTCTCTTTCTATGCCACCAAGAAATGCCATAAATTTTGTGATTTCTCATAAATTTTCGTCTCTGCATTCTGCTACTACCCCCTCTATTCTTCGCATTGTTCATATTTGCATATGAAATCATGTGTTAAAATGCAGAAGCTTTTTGAATATATTTTGGTGTGCAACATTTCTTCGGCGTCGGAGAAATGGGGAAAGGGACTACTGGCTCTGTATGCAAACATATAAACAGTTTTCCTTATTCATATTTCCAGCGTATTTTGTTAGCAAATGTCAACTCGGTTGACTGAACAAAATGCATCGATAGTTTTGCTTCCTTCGGTTTTTTTATTTCGGCATAAAGTACTTGTATTTTTCGAAAAATCCTGTGTAATGCATAAACCGAATTTTGGATCATAAAACACAACAATGATTTTGCATTGACTTTATTTACTATTTTTTGCTGTTATAAGATGAATATGAATTTTAAAATAAAATAAAACATGGTTTTTTAATGGCAAAAATGTAAAAAAAAATTAATATTATAAAAGGCTGTACAAAATCAAAGATTGCAATTGCATTGAAAAAAGCGCAAAATGAGCAATATCCGGTGAATTTGGATTGCCAATATTTGGTTTTTTCGGGCAGTCGACTCCAGGAACTAGACAAATGAAAACAAAAGAAATTTCTGCTGAGTCAAAGTGTTAAAAAATGAGTTCAGCTCTTTTCAATTGTTTAAATCTAGCCCCTGTTTTTTTCTCGTCTTTGTTTCTTATATTCATCTGCAAGAATTGTATGATGGAGCTGCCATTTTGGGTATATTATTATAAGACAATGCTATTTTTACTAAAAATAAATATTTCATTTTGATAGGATTCAGCAAAAATTGTATTTCTTAGAACTTATTAGATACAGCAGACCTTAAAATTTTTAGTAGGTATCTTTAACCTTTTTATAAGGACCAAATTTTTTGTTTACATATGAAATGTACAAATTTTAGATCCGATATTGTTTATTTGAATTCGCATTTTCAGGAATTGTTTACCATTAATAGTTTTTAAGAGTAAATCTTTTAATACACTATGTTTATTCTACCTGTTTATTTGCATTCATAGCATTTTTTGATTATAAAATTCAACAACACTATTCTTCTATGTCGGCACTTTCTAAAAGAGCTAACTTAACTAGTTGGTTCCGTTTTTGTTTGGTTTGTTTCTCTTTTTTTTTGGCTGGCGACATCGCGGGAAATTTAAACTGAACCGAATAAACAAAGGCCGGAGAGTGGTGTGAATTGGGAGAAAATACTGAGACGGAGTCGCGTCAAACGCTTTTCCGCCTTTTCAGCTATGCGTGGCACGTTGCCTCGAGAAAGGTGAGAAATTCGAGGGAACTTAACTCGAGATTGCACGACCCGACCAGACCAAAATCCGATTTTTCCCCGTTTGAATGTCGCTATTTTCCGGCTAGGCTGCGGCTGATACGAAGATGTGAAAAACCCCGGACTTGTGAAAACCGCTGGTGTGAAAAGGTAGGTGGGTTGTCCAAATGAATGGCCCGTGTCGAAACAAGTTAACTTAATGGCTGACTAGCTGCTTTGCATATATTATTTCTAGAATTTTCATTAAATTAGCTGGAAAATATCCAACGTCTAAAAAAGGCCAAAGTCTAAAATTTGCAATACCCAAGATCAAAGTTGTTTATCTATCGACCGTGTTTTTGTTTACTTTAGCTCAAAAATAAATGCAATCTTGATTTACATATTTGAAAAATAATTTTTTCTCTCAGATAAACAAAGATATTTATTTTAAGCTTTTACCCCATATTTAACTTGTCATCTGTTTCTTCTTTTGTACTTTAGAAAAATGTAAACTAATTAGTTTGATTGCAGTATAAAGAATAAAAATCAAACTTAAAAATTGAGAAAATGAGGTAACACATGTTTATGAAGCGTCTTCCCCAAATTCGTTTTCTTAAAATATACAAATTTTCGAAAGAATGAATTGTAAATTATTTCATCTGGAGCGTTAAATCTCAGCCTCTCTGTCCCTCGCTCTCTTCTCTTAGTTAATTTCGTAGGCCTGGTCATGCTCAGATACACAGACATAGTGGCAAATAACCATTTGCTGATTTATTCGCTTTATTTGCCGCACCTTTCTTTGCTTTTCTTTGTTTCTACTTGGACACGCGCCAAAATACTTTGCTCAAGGCAGGCAAACACACCGGCGAACACACACTTTCTATACGTCAGTCGGTGAGCCCCAGTCATCCATCCCAGATTCTATATCCCATATCCCAAGGAGGGTTCACTTTCGCCATTCTTCTTCGGCGAAAGAAAAACAAACATGGCTCAGTGCTCCCGCCCTAAAAAATGATGAAAACTGAAGAACGAAGAATGCCGAAGAATGAACATTCGGCGCAATGCTTTCTTCAATTCTTTGTTACTTGTCATGTCTTCGAGTGAGTCACCCTAATGGGAAGAAACGCATGAGTACGAAATGCCGCGATTGTTTGTGGTTTTTTGATGACTTTGCTATAACAAAACTATCTGATTCCTTTGTGTCATGCTTTGAAAAAAATTAAGCTTTTTTTATAGCTACGATAAATACGTGGTACGAGCTAAAACAAAAACAAGAAATAAAATAATCTTAAAACTACAAATTTATTCTGAGAGAGTACTGACGTAAGGAATTTCAAAAGCATAGAGTTAATTATTGTTCCTGGATTAAAGAACACAGTTTCTTAGTAAGTTTTATGTATTTTGTATGGCTTATCTAAGGAGAAAATCATCAGCTAATAACAAATGTCTCAATATTGTCATTCTTTTTTAAAGGTAATTACCCATAATGAATTCCGACTTCCGCAAATGGTAATAAACTCAACATTTTCAACATGTGTGCCCAAAAACGAATCAAAAAAGAAATGTGCTGCAAAGTATGGCAAAATAAAATGTTAAAACATATTACCCAAAGTCTTACTCCAAACACAAGATCCGAAAAAAAATAACCGGAGCTAATACAAAGCAATTTATATGTATACAAACCAGACAAATGGAAATATTTGCCATATGCCAACAGAAGAACAATACTAATTGGGTTTGATGTGTGAGCGTAGAAATGAGCAGGGCAAAAACAGACATCAAACCGAGGAAAATTCACACGCCTTCACACAACGCACAAAAACGAGAACGTTTTTGGGGGGGAGCTTGAAAAAAGCGACGCTGGTTGCAAAAATTCTTTTTGTTTTTTTTTCCAAAATCATTTCTGTTTACACAATTTCTTGCCTCTCTTGAACTTCCTTTTTCCCCTCTTGATGTGTAATCGTTTCTGGTTTTAATTAGTACCGAAATTTAGCAGGGGAATTTATGGGGGCGTGATTGGAATCACCTTCGGGCAGTATTGTTTATTTACCTAAATGCAAATGAATTATTTCGATTTGCTTTGCTGGTTATTATTGTTTTTATTTGGCGAGCGAAGCGCATTGGATGAGAAATCGAATGGAGAAACCCCGACGGCTAGTGCTCCATTGTCCATTTACTCTCAGTTTTTTAAGAATGCAATATTCTACAATTACCAAGCAAAAGTAGTTAATGCCCTATATTTTCAAGTAACAAGTTTTGAAATTTAACTATTTTATAAAATTTAATTTTATTTTTTGATCCATTTTATAATATAGAGTATTCATGGTGGAATGAAACCTGACAGTAAAGAATACCATGTACTCAAGCAATTACAGGGAAATATAAAAAAGTTTATATTATATAAAATTTGAATTACTAACAATTCTTTCTTTTCAGTACCTTCTCATAATTTATATGTGCAATTCATTTACAAATTCAAAAGGAAAATACATTTTTTTAATGAAATAATGTAAATTGATTTCCATGATATTTTATCGTCATTTTTTAATTTAGTTTTATTAATTTAATTATTTTTTTAATTTCATATTGGACAGTATGGTTCTAATTAATAACCTTTTGAAAACAAAATGGTGAAAGTAATCTTAAAAAAAACGGGTTTAAGGAAGAGACGAATTACTGAATTAAAAAACATTTTTAGATCGTAAAGATTATTACCATTACCAAGAGTTGAACAGTCTTTGCAAAAATAATTATTTTTAAATGAAATGACTAGTTTAAAGCCCGCAAAAACAAAATAAATTATTAGTAACCAACCAAAATTAACTTAAAAGGGGAGAGGAGGTAAAAACAAAAAAATAATGATAATTGGGAGGGGCAACAACAAACATAAGGAAGATTAGAGAAAAGAAGAAGAGACGATTAAAACGCACAGAAGCGCAAAGAATAGAAAATCTAAAAGTAAACTATGTGCACGACTACCTTGCAACGCGTCAGAGCGAGACAGCTGCCAAAACCGGTATCACAAACAAACGAAAGACACTCTATAAGAAAATAATGTTAGGCATTAAAATAAAAACAAAAAAAAGCGAAAACAACAACACTTTGCCGAGAGATAATGATTGACAAAGGCGAAAATGTAAAAATGCAACAAAGAGTGAGAGAGCGGTAAAAAGAGACGAATCTGAGGCACAAAAGGGAAGCCGCGAACATGCAACAAGCTGCAATAACAAAAATTAAACAACAACAAAGACCGCTCGGTTATTTTTGTCATTAGATCAACTATTTAAGATATTTTCGCACATATTCTCGCACGAATTTCAACCACATTCGCGAATTCCACTTATTTATGAACAAAGAAAACTCGAGCTCACCTGATAACTGGAAAATGGGCGCCTGCAATTTTAGATTAAATGAAAATTTTCAATTTTTGTTGCCTGTTTCTGTTGCCTTTGTTGTTGTTTTTGAATTTCAAGCGAAAGCAGGCAAAACAACAACATAAAATCACAAACACGCACGTCACTCATACACTTGCACAGCTGAGACATAAACACACGGAGAGCAGAGAGAACGATGGAGAAGGAGAGAGAGCGATAACTATTTTGTTTTCTGTTTTTTTCACAATTTTATTCCACAGAATTCGAATGGCTAACCATATTTTAATTTTATTAATTCGCATCAATCACTGTGCTGTGTGGTTGCTTTTTTCGATTTTTCCACTGTAAAACTGCGCCCGTTTAGTTGCTGTTTTGGTTTTAATCTCTCTCCTTGCTTATTTTCCTCGACCGCCTCCACACGCAAAACATATGATTTGGTCGACAATCACGATAAAACCACGAAGAAGGCGCGCGCCACCTTAACCAACCGTCCGATTTGGAATCATGCTACTATATACGATGCACACAACTATATAGACTCTGCGTATTCGTGAATGTGTTTTTATGCGAGTGTAACAGCGACTGAGAGAGGTTTTCTCTTTTGCTTAACAGAGCAGCGAGGGAGTCTTGCAGCAGTGAAAAGTTTACAGTTTCCCATTGTCCGACGCATAGTGGGGTAGCAGATACTAAAAAGATTAGATAAAATCAACCAAGTATGAGGTAGCCATTGTAATATGTCTGATCAATTAAAAAAATAATATTGTTATTTTATTTATTTAAAACAGGCATTAACAGTTCTCGCAATTGTTAGAATTCTACTTTAACATTATTGCCCACAAACGTCCTCTTTTAGCCCACTGTGAGACGTCCTTATATGTATTCGTGTAAGTAACAGCGACTGAGAGAGTTTTGCTCGAAAGTTAACATTAGCAGAATGGATGTGCAAGGTGTGGTGAAAACATCAGCTGTTCGAACATGTGCTGCGTTCGAAAGAGGAGTACAGCTAGAGGGTTGAATTCCAAAATTGAGCGGGTCTTTTTGACATTTTTAAGAAATATGACTGTTCTTACAATTTTTACAACTTTGGAAGACCCACTAGTAAGCCAGAGAACATTTTTTTAATAAATGAAATACCAAAAATTTCTATAAGTGGGTTAATGTGTATGGGTTAAAAAAATTAATATGTATTTTTCTTTATAAAAAAAGGGCAGGGTTATCGGTATTAAATCGATGGTAATTTAAAATCCCTATTATCTTAAAGATTTCGCTGGAAAACATAAAATTGTTTATTTGTTTTCACCACACTTCGAACATCCGAGAAGATCCAACGGTTTGTTATCAGACACTTAAATACATAGTACGTGAGCGCTTAACATGCGCCCATTTTTCCCCACTGTTACTCTACTGTGCGGCTTAAACATGCTCGAGAGACCAAAAAAAGAAGAGAGTTTGAGAGCGACTCGCGTATTCTTGGCGTCACAAGTTGTATATATTTTTTATCTGTTGAATAAAAAGATGTTAAATGTGTACAGTAAATAAGCAAAATGTATATATAATTTAATATAGTCCTTGATTTATAAAATATTAATATAGTCCTCACGTCGTTAATAAAGTTTCCCACCTGCGCCACCTTATATTTTGCAACCTTCCAACATCAGCTGTTTTTGTTGTTTGGGGAAGAATGGACAAAAAGTTGCAGGGATTTCAACTGGTGGCCCAGGAAAAGGTAATAAAATGAGTCATAATTGTTAGAACACTAACTATTTGTAAATCCCCTTCAGCTTTGCTCTATTCTTTGCTCCATACCTGGAAAAAGGAGTTGATTTTGGAGCCAGCTTTGATAAAGCCACTGGAACATGTTTTCACTGCCTCCTGGTTAAAGTAAGATTTGAATTGTATTTTAAGGATATTCATATACTTATAATTCTTCCCCAGGCTAAAGGGTATTCAAAGAATATACAAACATGATGCGGAGCAGTCTTTGCCCCGATCTTCAGATCAGGTGCACATTTATATGATCCGCAGTGTGCTAGCAACATTTCAGACCTTACTAAAACAACTGCAACCTGTGGCTTTGGAGGAGGCGACGGACATATCCTTGAAAATGTATCACATAATTTGTGTACCCAGTTGCTATTCCTACTTCCAAACCCTCCTCGAACAAGCCGGTCTTTGGGGACTGGTGCAACTGCATCACTTTAACTGGGATTTCATCTATTTCGACCAAGGAGTTCTTAGCCTGGAGCTGCCTAATGTGAGTGGGTTTACAAATTTAGGCCAAAGATAATGAATCTCTTTTCACACAGCTCTACGAGTGCCTCTACCTCCAGGGGAACACTTCTCCTTTGCCTGCGGTGGCCCAAAGCCTGCGATTGCTTCAGATGATTTGCGGAGAAGCCGCTTTGGTCATGAGCTACGGCAACCACTCAGCCCAGCTATTGCAAATGTTAAAGGCCCTGGGCAAACTCCCGGAACCCACGAATCCTCCGGAATACGGCGGTTGGCTGATCATCGATCGGGATAAGGATTACCCTGCCAGTTTGCTAACGCCTGCCATTTATGCGGGCCTCCTCTTGGAGGTTTTCGACCAGCGTTCCGGCGAAATTGTGGTGGACAAGTTGAAGAACAAGATCAGCAGCCAGCGGGTGGAGCTGCTGCAGGGAAAGAAACCCAAAGGGGGAATTAACCCAGCCAGTAAACCCTGCTCCATTCGCCTTAACTCAGCCTCCGATGAAATTTATGGGGATAATCGCTACAAGCGTTTTGCCCAGGTCAGCAGTTTGATTCACGCACAAGTTAAAGCCCTGGGCTTGGAGCTCCAGAAACTGAATGACATGCAACTGGAGGAGATGCACGACTATGTGGCCAGGAAGCTGCCCAAACTCACGGAGCTGAAAAGCAAGGTCCTAAGGCATCTGAATGCCAGTGAGATTGTCATCCAAATGATGGGTAATTTTAGAAGGCTGCAAACCCTTGAGGAGGACATATTGAACAATGTGTCCAGGAAACGATTGCTGAGTGAGATTGACGAGCTGATGACCACCGATGGTCAGAGATATAATACCCTACGATTGATGTGCCTTCTGCATCATTGTGCTGGTGTGGCGCCCGAGGAGCTGCAAATCTTTGCGAGAAACTACTGCAATCTGTTTGGCCACCAGGAGTTGGGCGTTTTCCAGCAGTTGTCGCAGGCGGGATTACTTCCACCACTTGTGGCCGAAAAGAAGGCGCCAGCCAAGTTGCTTTCCAATCTCCCGCTGCCCAAATTCCAGCAAACAGAGTTTCAAGCCAATGCTAATCGGCTAAAGCTTCTAACCTCCTGCGGAGATGGTCAGGATGGTGGTTCCTCCTCAAAGAACCAAGCTGGTGGCGTGCAATCCTGCCCCAGTTTCGTGTTCAATGGCACCTACATCCCTTTAATAGCGCAGCTCTGCTCGATTTTGTTGAAAACCAATAGTGCTGAGGAGTTATCCTCGAAGCTGGCCATGATTGAGGGCTTGCACCTGCATCAGGATGGTGGAAAAATCACGCCCAAGGCCTATGCTAACCAACTTAAGGTTAATGGAGGCGCAGATCAGGATGTGTTTCCATTACGCCTGAGGAATCTCTTTGTTTTTGTTGTGGGAGGGGCCAGTTATGCAGAAATCGCCGCCTGCGATTTTGTGGCCAAGCTCACGGGCGCCCAGATAACCGTGGCATCTGACTCTCTAATGGCAGGCAGCGATCTGATCGCAACCGCCTTCACCCACTGACCACGAATCTTTTAAGAATCTGTGTATAAAATGCTTTATATATTTTTATATAAAACAAAAGTTTAAGAGTGTGATTAATAAATTTTAAAATTTTATGACAAATATTAATATATTCTTATATTTCCCAAACTTAACCATCTTTTGAATTTGTAAAACCAAAACAAACTTTTAAATCTTTAAGATATGCTTTTAAATAATCCCTAATGACTATTTACCATTCCCGAAACAACGTAAGGAACATCATATTCAACCTTTTTTATTTGTAAAACAAAAGCCATCTTTTATTATTGACCTCCAGCACCGGTCATTCCAGGCACGCGGTAAAGCAGCTCCCCATCATCATCGTAGTAGGCATCCTCCACACGGTAAGTGGCTCCCTCGCGATGCAGTTTCCGGGGAATAACAATTCGGGTTTTCACCTGGGTTATCTCGTACTTTCGCTGATCCGCTGCACTGATCACAATCTCGCTGCTGGCGAATTTGGGCACGAAGCTGGGCAGGAATCCAGTGCCACTGGGATTCTCAAGAGGGCGCTGCAGTTCCTCATTGTCCGACGCATAGTGGGGTAGCAGATACTAAAAAAAATTAGATAAAATCAACCAAGTATGATGAGGTAGCCATTGTAATATGTCTGATCAATTAAAAAAATAATATTGTTATTTTATTTATTTAAAACAGGCATCAACAGTTCTCGCAATTGTTAGAATTCTACTTTAACATTATTGCCCACAAACGTCCTCTTTTAGCCCACTGTGAGACGTCCTTATATGTATTCGTGTAAGTAACAGCGACTGAGAGAGTTTTGCTCGAAAGTTAACATTAGCAGAATGGATGTGCAAGGTGTGGTGAAAACATCAGCTGTTCGAACATGTGCTGCGTTCGAAAGAGGAGTACAGCTAGAGGGTTGAATTCCAAAATTGAGCGGGTCTTTTTGACATTTTTAAGAAATATGACTGTTCTTACAATTTTTACAACTTTGGAAGACCCACTAGTAAGCCAGAGAAAATTTTTTTAATAAATGAAATACCAAAAATGTGTATAAGTGGGTTAATGTGTATGGGTTAAAAGAAATAAAATGTATTTTTTTTTATAAAAAAAAAGGGCAGGGTTATCGGTATTAAATCGATGGTAATTTAAAATCCCTATTATCTTAAAGATTTCGCTGTAAAACATAAAATTGTTTATTTGTTTTCACCACACTTCGAACATCCGAGAAGATCCAACGGTTTGTTATCAGACACTTAAATACATAGTACGTGAGCGCTTAACATGCGCCCATTTTTCCCCACTGTTACTCTACTGTGCGGCTTAAACATGCTCGAGAGACCAAAAAAAGAAGAGAGTTTGAGAGCGACTCGCGTATTCTTGGCGTCACAAGTTGTATATATTTTTTATCTGTTGAATAAAAAAATATTAAATGGGTACAGTAAATAAACAAAATGTATATATAATTTAATATAGTCCTTGATTTATAAAATATTAATATAGTCCTCACTACGTCGTTAATAAAGTTTCCCACCTGCGCCACCTTATATTTTGCAACCTTCCAACATCAGCTGTTTTTGTTGTTTGGGGAAGAATGGACAAAAAGTTGCAGGGATTTCAACTGGTGGCCCAGGAAAAGGTAATAAAATGAGTCATAATTGTTAGAACACTAACTATTTGTAAATCCCCTTCAGCTTTGCTCTATTCTTTGCTCCATACCTGGAAAAAAGGAGTTGATTTTGGAGCCAGCTTTGATAAAGCCACTGGAACATGTTTTCACTGCCTCCTGGTTAAAGTAAGATTTGAATTGTATTTTAAGGATATTCATATACTTATAATCCTTCCCCAGGCTAAAGGGTATTCAAAGAATATACAAACATGATGCGGAGCAGTCTTTGCCCCGATCTTCAGATCAGGTGCACATTTATATGATCCGCAGTGTGCTAGCAACATTTCAGACCTTACTCAAACAACTGCAACCTGTGGCTTTGGAGGAGACGACGGACATATCCTTGAAAATGTATCACATAATTTGTGTACCCAGTTGCTATTCCTACTTCCAAACCCTCCTCGAACAAGCCGGTCTTTGGGGACTGGTGCAACTGCATCACTTTAACTGGGATTTCATCTATTTCGACCAAGGAGTTCTTAGCCTGGAGCTGCCTAATGTGAGTGGGTTTACAAATTTAGGCCAAAGATAATGAATCTCTTTTCACACAGCTCTACGAGTGCCTCTACCTCCAGGGGAACACTTCTCCTTTGCCTGCGGTGGCCCAAAGCCTGCGATTGCTTCAGATGATTTGCGGAGAAGCCGCTTTGGTCATGAGCTACGGCAACCACTCAGCCCAGCTACTGCAAATGTTAAAGGCCCTGGGCAAACTCCCGGAACCCACGAATCCTCCGGAATACGGCGGTTGGCTGATCATCGATCGGGATAAGGATTACCCTGCCAGTTTGCTAACGCCTGCCATTTATGCTGGCCTCCTTTTGGAGGTTTTCGACCAGCGTTCCGGCGAAATTGTGGTGGACAAGTTGAAGAACAAGATCAGCAGCCAGCGGGTGGAGCTGCTGCAGGGAAAGAAACCCAAAGAGGGAATTAACCCAGCCAGTAAACCCTGCTCCATTCGCCTTAACTCAGCCTCCGATGAAATTTATGGGGATAATCGCTACAAGCGTTTTGCCCAGGTCAGCAGTTTGATTCACGCACAAGTTAAAGCCCTGGGCTTGGAGCTCCAGAAACTGAATGACATGCAACTGGAGGAGATGCACGACTATGTGGCCAGGAAGCTGCCCAAACTCACGGAGCTGAAAAGCAAGGTCCTACGGCATCTGAATGCCAGTGAGATTGTCATCCAAATGATGGGTAATTTTAGAAGGCTGCAAACCCTTGAGGAGGACATATTGAACAATGTGTCCAGGAAACGATTGCTGAGTGAGATTGACGAGCTGATGACCACCGATGGTCAGAGATATAATACCCTACGATTGATGTGCCTTCTGCATCATTGTGCTGGTGTGGCGCCCGAGGAGCTGCAAATCTTTGCGAGAAACTACTGCAATCTATTTGGCCACCAGGAGTTGGGCGTTTTCCAGCAGTTGTCGCAGGCGGGATTACTTCCACCACTTGTGGCCGAAAAGAAGGCGCCAGCCAAGTTGCTTTCCAATCTCCCGCTGCCCAAATTCCAGCAAACAGAGTTTCAAGCCAATGCTAATCGGCTAAAGCTTCTAACCTCCTGCGGAGATGGTCAGGATGGTGGTTCCTCCTCAAAGAACCAAGCTGGTGGCGTGCAATCCTGCCCCAGTTTCGTGTTCAATGGCACCTACATCCCTTTAATAGCGCAGCTCTGCTCGATTTTGTTGAAAACCAATAGTGCTGAGGAGTTATCCTCGAAGCTGGCCATGATTGAGGGCTTGCACCTGCATCAGGATGGTGGAAAAATCACGCCCAAGGCCTATGCTAACCAACTTAAGGTTAATGGAGGCGCAGATCAGGATGTGTTTCCATTACGCCTGAGGAATCTCTTTGTTTTTGTTGTGGGAGGGGCCAGTTATGCAGAAATCGCCGCCTGCGATTTTGTGGCCAAGCTCACGGGCGCCCAGATAACCGTGGCATCTGACTCTCTAATGGCAGGCAGCGATCTGATCGCAACCGCCTTCACCCACTGACCACGAATTTTTTAAGAATCTGTGTATAAAATGCTTTATATATTTTTATATAAAACAAAAGTTTAAGAGTGTGATTAATAAATTTTAAAATTTTATGACAAATATTAATATATTCTTATATTTCCCAAACTTAACCATCTTTTGAGTTTGTAAAACCAAAACAAACTTTTAAATCTTTAAGATATGCTTTTAAATAATCCCTAATGACTATTTACCATTCCCGAAACAACGTATGGAACATCATATTCAACCTTTTTTATTTGTAAAACAAAAGCCATCTTTTATTATTGACCTCCAGCACCGGTCATTCCAGGCACGCGGTAAAGCAGCTCCCCATCATCATCGTAGTAGGCATCCTCCACACGGTAAGTGGCTCCCTCGCGATGCAGTTTCCGGGGAATAACAATTCGGGTTTTCACCTGGGTTATCTCGTACTTTCGCTGATCCGCTGCACTGATCACAATCTCGCTGCTGGCGAATTTGGGCACGAAGCTGGGCAGGAATCCAGTGCCACTGGGATTCTCAAGAGGGCGCTGCAGTTCCTCCGGAACTTTTGGTGTGGATTTTACAAGCTGTGATTCCTTGAGCTCCTGGAGTCGCATCTTTTTCTTGTTGCGGATTTTATCTAGTAGATAGGTTTCATCTTCGGCGGCTGAAGGAGGAGCTTCAAAGCCAGAGGACAGTTGTGGTGGAGGCACCTCCTCCTGATTTGAGTTACTACTTCCCAGCAGCTTCCGAAATTCGTTTCGTTGAGGAGTGGGAAGTTGTGGTGTTGTGGGCCAGTCCTGGGTCCTTAATTCCCGCAGATCCTGCCGCCTTCGCTCGGCGAATTTCTGCAGATGCTGGAGCAAAGTGGGTGGTATATCAAAGTCCCCTTTTCCCGTCCTTAGGAGCTTCCAATTTTGGATGACTGTTTCGTCATGGGAGCGTATCCTTTGCACACTTCTCGGTCGCCACTTGGCCCGCAGAATTTTCTGCACAATTTCAGGAGTGGCGGGAAAACTCTCCGCCAGACGTTCCACACTCCACTCTTCGGGATCCCGTTCATGGAGCAGGCGCATCTGCTCTTTTTCCGCATGGAGCAACAGATTGGGTAACTTTGCGTCCCGGAAATACTTGTGTTTGATCATAAACTGACGGATGCGATCGCGCTGCTGCTGTTGCTCCTTTTCGTACTGCCGATGGGTCTTCTGCACGCCCATGAAATCCGACTCCAGATCGGCGTAATCCTCACTGGCTTCGCTCGGTTTTGCCGGGTGCTCCTGCAGCTGCTGCAGTTGGTAACCCAGGCCGGGATTAGCGCGGCGTGGAACTCTGGCCAGAAGACAGGAGCGAGCCGTGTGTAGAGTGCGTTGGATCATTCGGGCGGACATCTCGTGGGAAAATCCGTGGACATTTGGTTTTAGAATCGTTTTGTTTACATAAACAGCTTTACATTTTATCGATATTATCTGGACAATCGCTACCAAACGGAAACTATCGATAAGCGCGGTTTAATTGCCATCACAAGAGAACCACGGCTTGCAAAACGTGGCAACCCTGTTGCGTTTATTCTGTTGCTCTGCTTTTTGTTGTTTACGCTGACCGGCTAAATTGTTTATACGCAATTGTTTATCCGATTCCCTATCCCATCGGAATCATGGCAAGCAACGAGCCCGGCGGTGGAAACCTGATGGACGAGTTCGAGGAAGCCTTCCAGTCCTGCCTGCTCTCGCTGACCAAAGAGGAGCCGAATTCCGGGACGAGCAAGGAGGAAATCGAACTGGAGGTGCAAAAGACCACCAATCGCTTCATAGACGTGGCCCGTCAGATGGAGGCGTTCTTCCTGCAGAAGCGCTTCCTCGTCTCCACGCTGAAGCCCTACATGCTGATTAAGGACGAGAACCAGGATCTGAGCATCGAGATCCAGCGCAAGGAGGCGCTGCTGCAGAAGCACTACAACCGGCTGGAGGAGTGGAAGGCGTGCCTCTCGGACATCCAACAGGGTGTCCACAGTCGTCCCACACCTCCAATTGGAGCTGGGATGCTTCAAGGTCCCGGAGGCGGAATGGCACCCATGGGCGGAGGTCCCCCGCGACCAGGAATGATGCCCGGAATGCCACCGGGAGCAATGCAACCCGGGGGACCCATGCAACCCAGTCCGCAGCACATGCTGCAGGCCCAGCAGATGCAGCAGCTCCGGATGATGGGCAAACTGCCTCCAAAATAATCAGACAGTGATTCCTTTTAGCATGTAATTTTGTATAGACCCGGCTTAGTCTACCTGTATCTCGTATAGTCAAATAAACTGATTATATATATGAAAATTATTAAGCTATCGGTCATTTTATGTCTGTATCTTATAGAAGATCTGTTAAAAACTAATAAACAATTACATTTGATAGATAAGTTATCGGAATAAGTTTATCAACGTTAAAGTGACAATGCAAAAAATGCAGATTTTTAAGGAATTAAACAAAAATTATTAAGAAGTACGCCACTTTGACGTCGGATGTCTGTAAGAAATATTATGGGCTTAGAAGTGCAGGTTAAGGTCACTTTTCCGCAAAGCCATTTTTGGAATCATTGAAATGACAAAAAAATCCACCCCAAACTTGGAAATAACTAACATGAAAATGGGTCAACAACGTTATACCAAAAATTTCGAATGCAGATTTTTAGAGAATGAATCCACAAGTCTTTCGAGGTATGTCACTTTGGAATCGGATTAAATTTGGTAAAGTTATGGAGTCTGGAAGTCCAATTGGGGGTTACCTCATTACAAGTCATCGGAAACTTGGAAATTACTGACATGAAAATGGGTCCAAAATTTGATCAACGTTAAACCAAAAATTTTGAATGCAGATTTTTAGAGAATGAAACCACAAGTCTTTAGAGGTATGTCACTTTGAAAACGGATTAAAATTGGTGAAGTTATGGACTCTGGAAGTTCAATTGGAGGTCACCTCATTACAAGTCATCGGAAACTTGGAAATAACTGACATGAAAATGGGTCAAAAATTTGATCAACGTTAAACCAAAAATTTTGAATGCAGATTTTTAGAGAATGAATCCACAAGTCTTTAGAGGTATGCCACTTTGAAATCGGATTAAAATTGGTGAAGTTATGGACTCTGTAAGTCCAATTGGGGATCACCTCATTACAAGTCATCGGAAACTTGGAAATTACTGACATGAAAATGGGTCAAAAATTTGATCAACGTTAAACTAAAAATTTTGAATGCATATTTTTAGAGAATGAATCCACAAGTCTTTAGAGGTATGTCACTTTGAAAACGGATTAAATTTGGTAAAGTTATGGACTCTGGAAGTCCAATTGGTGGTCACCTCATTACAAGTCATCGGAAACTTGGGAATAACTGACATGAAAATGGGTCCAAAATTTGATCAACGGTAATCTAAAAATTTTGAATGCAGATTTTTAGAGAATGAATCCACAAGTCTTTAGAGGTATGTCACTTTGAAATCGGATTAAAATTGGTGAAGTTATGGACTCTGGAAGTCCAATTGGGGATCACCTCATTACAAGTCATCGGAAACTTGGAAATTACTGACATGAAAATGGGTCAAAAATTTGATCAACGTTAAACTAAAAATTTTGAATGCAGATTTTTAGAGAATGAATCCACAAGTCTTTAGAGGTATGTCACTTTGAAATCGGATTAAATTTGGTAAAGTTATGGACTCTGGAAGTCCAATTGGTGGTCACCTCATTACAAGTCATCGGAAACTTGGGAATAACTGACATGAAAATGGGTCCAAAATTTGATCAACGGTAATCTAAAAATTTTGAATGCAGATTTTTAGAGAATGAATCCACAAGTCTTTAGAGGTATGTCACTTTGAAATCGGATTAAAATTGGTGAAGTTATGGACTCTGGAAGTCCAATTGGGGATCACCTCATTACAAGTCATCGGAAACTTGGAAATAACTGACATGAAAATGGGTCCAAAATTTGATCAACGGTAATCTAAAAATTTTGAATGCAGATTTTTAGAGAATGAATCCACAAGTCTTTAGAGGTATGCCACTTTAAATCGGATTAAAATTGGTGAAGTTATGGACTCTGGAAGTCCAATTGGTGGTCACCTTATTATAAGTCATCGGAAACTTGGAAATTACTGACATGAAAATGGGTCAAAAATTTGATCAACGTTAAACTAAAAATTTTGAATGCAGATTTTTAGAGAATGAATCCACAAGTCTTTAGAGGTATGTCACTTTGAAATCGGATTAAAATTGGTGAAGTTATGGACTCTGGAAGTCCAATTGGGGATCACCTCATTACAAGTCATCGGAAACTTGGAAATAACTGACATGAAAATGGGTCAAAAATTTGATCAACGTTAAACTAAAAATTTTGAATGCAGATTTTTAGAGAATGAATCCACAAGTCTTTAGAGGTATGTCACTTTGAAATCGGATTAAATTTGGTAAAGTTATGGACTCTGGAAGTCCAATTGGTGGTCACCTCATTACAAGTCATCGGAAACTTGGGAATAACTGACATGAAAATGGGTCCAAAATTTGATCAACGGTAATCTAAAAATTTTGAATGCAGATTTTTAGAGAATGAATCCACAAGTCTTTAGAGGTATGTCACTTTGAAATCGGATTAAAATTGGTGAAGTTATGGACTCTGGAAGTCCAATTGGGGATCACCTCATTACAAGTCATCGGAAACTTGGAAATAACTGACATGAAAATGGGTCAAAAATTTGATCAACGTTAAACTGAAAATTTTGAATGCAGATTTTTAGAGAATGAATCCACAAGTCTTTAGAGGTATGTCACTTTGAAATCGGATTAAATTTGGTAAAGTTATGGACTCTGGAAGTCCAATTGGTGGTCACCTCATTACAAGTCATCGGAAACTTGGGAATAACTGACATGAAATGGGTCCAAAATTTGATCAACGGTAATCTAAAAATTTTGAATGCAGATTTTTAGAGAATGAATCCACAAGTCTTTAGAGGTATGTCACTTTGAAATCGGATTAAAATTGGTGAAGTTATGGACTCTGGAAGTCCAATTGGGGGTCACCTCATTACAAGTCATCGGAAACTTGGAAATAACTAACATGAAAATGGGTCAAAAAGTTGATCAACGTTAAAATGAAAATTTTGAATGCAGATTTTTAGAGAATGAATCCACAAGTCTTTAGAGGTATGTCACTTTGAAATCGGATTAAAATTGGTGAAGTTATGGACTCTGGAAGTCCAATTGGGGATCACCTCATTACAAGTCATCGGAAACTTGGAAATTACTGACATGAAAATGGGTCAAAAATTTGATTAGAGAATGAATCCACAAGTCTTTAGAGGTATGTCACTTTGAAATCGGATTAAAATTGGTGAAGTTATGGACTCTGGAAGTCCAATTGGGGATCACCTCATTACAAGTCATCGGAAACTTGGAAATAACTGACATGAAAATGGGTCAAAAATTTGATCAACGTTAAACTAAAAATTTTGAATGCATATTTTTAGAGAATGAATCCACAAGTCTTTAGAGGTATGTCACTTTGAAATCGGATTAAATTCGGTAAAGTTATGGACTCTGGAAGTTCAATTGGTGGTCACCTCATTACAAGTCATCGGAAACTTGGGAATAACTGACATGAAAATGGGTCCAAAATTTGATCAACGGTAAACTAAAAATTTTGAATGCAGAGTTTTAGAGAATCAAACCACAAGTCTGAAAAGGTATGCCACTTTAAAATCGGCTTGAATTTTTCCATTTTTCCAAAACAGATAGCCCCACACATCTGTAGAACATTTAATTGGAGGAGAAAATTGTTACGCATTTATTCATAATATCTGTGCCATTTATTTTTGTTATCTTGTTGCGTGTTAAATAACTTCCTGCGTCTCCTAGCTGGATTAGCACTATGTATGTATGTATATAGCCATGGTCTATATTGTGTAAATTATCTGTAAAATCATACGCTAGATAATTGTGTTTTTAGTTTGTATCTAATTTAAATCTACACATGAATTAGGACAGTTTTGAACTTAACTGCATTGATAGAAAATATAATCTAATGCGCTCGGTTATGGGTAATTGGTAAATGGTAATTAGATAGGATAAACCACATTTGTAACTTTAGTCCAAAGGAAATATCGACAATGTCGACGAATTACCTACGATTAAATTAAAGAGTGTAACCATGCCGTTGGTTTGATTCGGGTGCTTAGTCGATTTCGTAAACCTTGTCCGGCTCGAAGCCCGGAGCAGGAGTTACATTTGGCGCGAGGGACGCCGATCCGGCTGCCCCCGGCGGACCGCCAGTGCCCTGATTGTAGCCAGCCGCATTAGGATGCTGGTTGGCGTAGAGCAGAGGATTCATGTACATCCCGCTGGGATGCACGATGTTTGAGTGCAGGCTAAGGAGATCCTTGTACATGGTCGGATCGCCGTTGTTCATCTCATTGTACAGCTGTTGCAGATAGGTGGGTACCAACTGAATAACCTGGTTCTGGTTAAGCTCATGATGGTCCTTGGCTATCTTCATGTTCAGCAGCTGCAGGAGGATGTCCGACCGGAAGCCGAATATCTTGTTGGAGGTCACGCTGCCGGAGGCATTGCCAAACTGGCCCATCACCTGGTTGCCAAAGGCGTTTCTATCATAACTCATGTATTGCGATGCCTGAACCGTTCGAGTCTTTTCCGCTTCGTATTCGGCCCAAGCCGATTTTCGCTCCTCCTCCGACAGATTCTCGTGCTCCTCCTGCTCCAGCAGCGAATCGTGCTCGTGGTACTTGAAGATCAGTTTCTCGTGCTCGGTGAGAATCTCGGCGAACAGCCGGTCCTTGGGTAGAATGGGCATCTCTCGCTCGGAACTAGGTTTCAGCTCATACGAGTACAACTCCATAAGGTCGGTCTGATTGTAGTGCCGCGAGATCTGCTGTTCATCGATCACCCGCTTGGCCGTAGCCTGCTTTGCCACCTGCCGCTCATAAACCTTCTGCTCCATGGTGCCCATGGCAATGAGGCGGTAAATGTAGCACGGCTTAATCTGTCCAAAGCGATAGACCCGGAATATGCTCTGGGTATCGTGAGAGGGATTCCAGGAGACATCGAATATCACTACACGGTTGGCGGCCACCAGATTGATGCCAAGGCCTCCGGCCCGAGTGGAAATGAGAAATAGGCGGGCCCGCAAGTTTGTCACATTGTTGAACTGCTTGCACATCGCCTCGCGATGCTCCACGCTGCAGCTGCCGTCCAATCGGAAGTAGTCCTTGCCGTTCGTCCAGCAGCCCTTGAAGTCGCCCACATCACCTGGGAAATAAAGAAAAATTAGTACCGATTTATAAAATTTACAAATTATAGTATAATATGATCTATCAATGATGGTTTGAACATTTATATTAATCTATATATCATTAGAATTTAATTCCACTTTAACCTTTAATAAACCAAAATAAATTGGTCTGTCAACCCACCTTCGAACTCGTAGTTCTTAGTATTGCTGTCCACCAGCGACAGAAAGTGCTCGATGACGTCCAGGGATTGCAAGGACTGTGAGAAGACGAGCAGCTTGTCACCAATGGCCTCACACTGCTGCAAAAGCCGCAGCAGGATTAACAGCTTTGGGGAATGGTGCACGTTATTCAGCTCTCGCTCCTCCACGAAGGGTTTCCACCATTCCGAAGGGTCGTCCTTCTGGACACTGGGTCCCCCACTTAATCCGCCCACTAACTCCAGATCGGAATCACTGTCGCCGCCACCAGCAGCGGTTCCATTACGGGTCTTGCGCTTTTTCGCCTTTCCCGAACTGGCTGCCAATCCCGACATACTAGCGTCCGACTTGAAGGAGTCGCAGCTGTCCGATGAGTTGGAGGCTGCCTCCTCCTCGTCGGTCTCGTCGCAGATGAAGCCCTCTATATCAGAGTCGTCGTTGCTGAGCAGCCGTTTGGCAATCACGTTGTCACTGTTCACCCGCAGGTTCATCGGGTGCGTCCAGATACGCCGCAGATCCTGAAAGTCCTGGAACAGCCGCGCCCCCTTGCCGCACATATCCGAGCCGCTCTGTTCCCGGTGCGTGGTCATGTAATAGCCGTATAGCTGCTGCTGCAGCTCCGACAGTGTTGTGTAGACAACATACTCATGCTTCGGAGGCAGATAAGGTGCCAGTACCGAGTAGTCCCGCCGCTGGATGCAGCCCTCAAGCAGCTTGTGCAGAATGTGAGAGCGGTGCTTCATGAGCCGCAGATCCCGATCCGTGGAGTCCGTGTACTGACCATTGGTGATCGGGTTAACGAAACGATTCATATACTCCTTATAGGTACCCAACAGATTGGGCTTAACAAACTGAATCATGCAGTAATCTAGAAGTAAATAAAAAATGGAGGGAATTGAACATATTGTCAGTGTACTTGGCCAATTTCTTTAGAAAAGGGCACAAAACCTACATTCTCTGAGATTATTTTGAAGTGGAGTGCCGGTGAGGACGATCCGGCGTTTGGTGCGCATTCGTGTGACTGCCTTGCTAATGGAGGTCTTCTCGTTCTTGAGCAGATGTCCCTCGTCGCAGACGACCAGATCCGGACCGGGATCGACCAGGGCCTGCATGAGCTGCTCTCGCTGCTTTTTGCGCAGTCCCTTGGCCTTTTCGTTGGCCAGGATGCGGTACATGTCGTAGCCGAGGATGCAGACGCCGCCCTCATTAAACCATTCGTTGAGTTTGAATATGCGCGTGGGCTTGTCCTTGTATCGCGAGATGTCGTACACCTCGATGTCGTTGCGGTTGGCGAACTTCATCCAGCTGGTGAACTCCCGCGCCCAGTTGTTCACCGTGCTGAGGGGCGTGATAACCAGAACGCGCTCTACACTGGTGCGTCTCGTGTTGATCAGCAGCGTGTGCGACAGGGTGACCACCTGCAGGGTCTTGCCCAGACCCATGCAGTGAGCCAGGATGCAGCCGGAGCCGGGCTTCTCTTCACATTCCTTGAGCGTCTCGAAGCAGGCGTCCCACATGAACTTCACGCCCGCCACTTGATGCGGTTTTAGCTTCTTCAGCAGCCCCTTGTCCACCTGCAGCAGGGCCTTTTTGGAATCCTCATCGAAGTCGAGCACCAGTTCGTTTATCTCCACGCTCTCGGACTTGACAAAGATGCGGTTGTACAACTTCTGGCGGTCCTCAATGCGCTTCCTTCGGTCGTCCTCCTCCTTGGCCGCCTCCTTGGTAGTCAGATCCAAGTCCTTGGTCTTGATGATCTTGCGTATATGCTTGCGCTTGTTCTTTTGCTTCTCATCATCACCATCGCCATCGCTCTCACCGCTGGAGGATTTCTTGATGCGCTTGCGCTTCTTCTTCTGCTTCTCGTCCGGCTCAAAGTCGGAAGAGCCCTTATCAGATTCGCTTTTCTTTCGGCGCCGCTTCCGCTGTGGCATCACCTCGCTGTCGCTGCTGTTGGCCGCCTCCTCCTCTTCCTCACCCTCGGAGGACTTTCTGTCCTCTTCCTCAGCTGCTGGAGCTTCGTAGTCTGAGTCTGCCTCGCTCTCGTTTTTGGAGCGCCTTTGTCTGCTCTTCTTGGACGTGGTGGCCGCCTCCTCGGAGTCCGTGCTCATTTTCTTGGGCTTTTGGGCGGGCTTCGTTTTGGGCAGACTGACACGCTTCAAGCGCACCACACAGCGTTTGGGCCTTGGTGGTGATTCAGCTCGTGGAGAGCTGGCTTTAGAAGATTTCTCGCTGGTCAGGGAACCCCTTCGTCTGCCGTTACCGTTTTTGGTGGCTTCTGGTGCTTCTCTGGATGAGGTGGCTTTTTCCCGCTTCTTTTCTTGGTTACTTCTGGTGTTCTTAGTTGTCCTGCTGGATGTGGATGTGCTGGATTCTTCCGCTAATTCTTCTTGAACTTTCTTGGATGTCTTGTTCTTAGATTTGATAGACTTGGCCTGCGGCTGCTCCTCCCTTTCCTTTTTCGAAGAGATGGGGACCAATAGGTTCTCGTCGTCGTCCTCGTCTTCGCTGTCGCTTAGTTCTATGATAGAAGCGTTCTTGTTGCGGCTTCTTCTCGGCGGCAGAAGGGATGTGCTCCTTTCCACTGACTCTTCGTTATCGCTGGAATCGATGGTAGTAATACTCTGGTTGAGACTCCTGCGGGAAAGCCTTTCCTTTATTTTGGGACTGGCCAGCAGCTTTTCCAGCGGCACAATGCGAATCTTGCAAACGGGCTCCTCTTCGTTCGTTGAACTATTGGCTAATGCCTGCTCGGAATCGCTGGAGCTGCTACTTCCGGATGCCTTGACATCTCGGTTTGATCTGGACTGCTTTGTTTTTGGCTTTGAAGATTCCGATTCAGTTCCAGATACGTGTGAGAAGTTGGAGTCGTCTGTGGTCAAAGGTGTAGCGGCATCTGATTGACGGGCGTTGGGGCTTTTCTTTCCCATAGGTAACCGGCTGTTTATCCGCCCAGCACGTCAAAGATCTGCAAGAAATGCGATTTGGTTGCTTTACTGGTTTTCTCGCACTACAAAAAACTGTTTTTTTTTTATTTTTTTATGTCAGCATTTGCCGCGCGTTCGTCGCTTCGCTTCTTCTTCTTTTATTCTATCGCTCTTCCTCTTTCCGCCTCTCTTCGCTTTTTTTTTGCAATCTGCGTCTGTCTCTTTTTTTTGTGTGGCGTCGGCACTACTTGAACATCTATTATTTATCCAAAATCCTTTAGATGTTGGGATCAAAAAAGCTTCTAGACAACTTTCTTCTCATGGTTTCACCTGCTACTGGCTGCGTAGGCGCTTCATTGCGTCCACCTACTCGATTTAACACCTTTTCCCGACGATTTAATTGTTATTTTTCAGCGTAAAGCCGCCGCAATTGCAACTTGGGTATACTAAACTATTGCAGGGTTGCCAGGTCTTCAGAGTACAATCGATATAAGTGGTTATCGGAGGATTGGCTCTTGCGATAGTACCGTTCCTCGGTGGTTAAAGTAAACTTACTAAAGCAGCTTAAGAATTTTATTATATACTAGCAAGGTAGCCCGCAGCTTCGCCTGCGGAAATTAAGATTAGCAATTTCCTAACTATATCGCTTAAAACTATACTTTTGATTAACTTTTTTATTTGCTACTTTATTTAAACTAAAACCATTCCACATTTCAACACCACCATAGAGGTAGAGGTTTTGGCGCGTTTTTTTTTTGTGGTTTCCCCATGAGGCCTATTCCACAGTGCATTTTAATTAGAAATGTTTAACATTTTTGCAAGACTTCTCTATAAACGATATTTTTTGATTTTCCTTCTGGCGCTAAAATAATTAAAGACTCAGAGGAGCTAACTCTTGAACAGGCCACATAAAACTGACCATGAGAGAAGCAATCGTCCCTTAAATCTAGTCCAGCTAGTTTTAAGGTCTGACCTTGCGATTTATTTATCGTTATTGCAAAGCAAACTTTTACAGGGAACTGAAGTCTTTTAAACTGAAACGGTAGATTTGATGGTATTAGGGGTATTCGTGGTATAAAAACAATTTCTCCTTTGGCACAGCCAGTAAAAACCACAGCTTCGATTAAATTGTTATGAAGAGCTTTTACTTGCAATCTTGTACCGTTACATAGTTTTGGAGGTCTTAAATTTCTCAACAGCATAATTGGTGCACCAATCTTAAGCTTTAGAATGTGTAAGGGAAGTTCAGGTGGATTTTGTTGGTTGAGAAATTCAACCGGAAAATGAACTGCTTCATCAACTTCAGTGACTGAATCAATAGAATTATACGTAACTTCAATACCATCAAATGATTTTAACAGTATGTTATTTATTACCACAGCTCTATCATTCTTAGCAGTTAATATTGCTCTCTCCGAAAACCAATCTAATGATTTGGTTGAGATTTTTGAAATTTCCGGAAATATATTTGATGTGAGCTCCTCAAGGGAAGTTACAACAGTTCCTAAACCTGAAGGAATAATTATTTTTCCTTCGACAGTTGGAAAAAGACCGTCTCCAATTCTCAATAATGTATGTGCAAAAATTCCAGCAGTTGTATCGCCTTTTAAATGCACACGCATGTTTTTTGTTAGGCACAATTTTTGAATAGTAGGCCAAAGAAATGATGATTTTAAGCAGGCTTGTATTTCATCTGCCCTTGTTCCTCGAGGAACTACAGGAAGCGTTTGACGAAAATCTCCAGATAATAAAACCGTCATACCTCCCATTAGAAAATCATTACCACGAATATCTTTCAACATTCTATCCAACGCTTCAAAAGCACTCTTATGAGCCATTGTGCATTCATCCCAAACAATAAGTCTACATTCTTGAAAAACCAATGCCATATTACACCGTTTAGATATTGAGCAACATGGTGTTTCTACATTTATTAAATCCAATGGGAGTTTAAACACAGAGTGGGCTGTGCGTCCCCCATTTAACAGCGTAGCAGCTATACCTGAAGAAGCAACAGCCAATGCTACATTATTATTATGTCGTAATTTTGCTAACAACAAATTCAATAAAAATGTCTTGCCTGTGCCACCGGGGGCATCCAAAAAAATATTTCACCGTTTTCATTTTGAACACTTTGTAATATTTTTTGAAATGCCATTCTTTGCCCATCGTTAAGGGAATTTTCGTCTTTACTTAATTCGAATTCATTAATATCTGTAATTTATTTCGTTTAAATATTCCCTATTTTGAAGTGGTCTACTAACTCTAATCGGTTCGGGCAAACCATAGTCTAATAGACACGTACCTCCAATGGACAGTGTTATATCTTCGATTAAAATAAGACATTTATTAAACACTCTATCCAGTAGATCTTGATTGACTTCTGCCACTATTAGAGAAAACTCGTACAAAATGTCTTCTGAAAAGCTTTCTTTATACATTTCCCAAAGATGTGCGGCATCAGCCATTTGACAATTTACTAACATCACCGCAAATAAATCACGTAATTGAATTGGCGATTTACATAAAGCTGCTTCCTTTAGGGTATATTCCCAGTGTGTGTCATCTTCTAGTAAGCCCAAAGCCTTACATGCCAATTGAAATGTAGCATACGTAATGTTATTAACTGTTTTAAGAAATAAGAATGAGGTTGGTCCCCGCACTTCATGAAGAAGTAGTCTTAGGTAATAGCATTCCTAAAGAGTTGGTGTTGTTGTACGATGTGGTTTCCTTGCAATTTAAGGGTCGTGTTTTCAAACCGAGTTCTTACCAATCTTGGATTTCACTTTCCAAAAAAAAAAAAATGTCAACATCATTTTTGGCAAGAACTGAAAGTGGGTTTGAACCCACGACCTACAGATCACATTACATTTATATACAACCTCTAACACCTGAGCTATATTGCCACTTAAATGCATTACAGCAAAAGATCATTTAATGAGAAGTACAAATGTATGCAAAAGGAGAAGATTAAATGGTTGGTTTTATTGTTGTTCACTTGCAATTTTGCTAAAGATGAGAAAAAAAAAGAATAAAAAACAAAAAACTTAAATTTTTAAATTTTATTTTTGTCAAAAAATTAACAATTTTGATTAAATTGAAGGTCTACGACCTTGCTGAAGGTTCTTAAATCTCCTTTCCATAAGAGATACGTTTTCGTGAGTTTTTTCCAGGTCTGCTACCTTCTTCTTCATTGTTTTTAATTCGTTCTGCATCCTCTTGCACGTTTGCGTCAAAGTTTTTATGGTTTTATTTTGCGTTTTCAATTGCTGGTTAATGTTAACCCAGTTTTGTTGTCGTTTGTTTTTTCCCATAAAATTTTTAGTTTCTTGCTCATCTATTGATTTCACCTGAACACATTGCGCATGTTGCGGTACATGTTGCGCAACGTGTTGCGGGAAATGCTGCGTGAAGTGCTGGACGGGTACGGGTTGCGGGACGTGTTGGCACACAACTGGAGGCGGAACTGCAGCTTGATACGGATACGAATAGCTAGCTGGAGCTGCCGTGTAATTGGGTTGCCATGCAACCCACTGCCCAGCACCATTTCCATGGGGATTCATTTTAAAACTGACAGAATTGCTGCCTAAAAACATATATAAGTCCAAATTTGCCGAATTACGGATGTATGTGTGCGTATTCCATCAGTTTACTTCCCTCTCTTTGAACTTAACCTTTTTGTGCCGAAGATTTTAAATATGGTAGGATCTTTTTCTATAATTATATTAATTTTAATTTTTTTTAAATACCGATCGCTTACATTTTATTTTGCCACATCTTTTGTTTTGCAGTTAAGGGCGATACATTATATTGAAGGACAAAAATAAAAACAAAGTGTTTTTCAAAAACAATCTAAAATTAAGACTCTTCATTGTTTTTGTTTATATTTAGATTAGAACTCTTTATTTTTAATTTTTAATTTTTTTTTTAATTTTTTTAATTACAAATTGAAATTAAAGAATTAAAATTTTAATTTAACAAATATACATTTTTTTAACATTTAAGCCATGCTATGTTTACTTTCTTCTAGTGATGTTATTGCTTGACAAATAATATTAATGTACTATTACTATTACAACCGAAGAATGTAGAAAAGGTAATTTTATGCACATTGGTAACGAAAGGGTTAATAAAAAATCACATACTGTTGACGATTTAGAAGAAGTTTAAAAGAGAATCCACAGTAGACAACGCTTATAAGGAAAGCAAATATTTATGTAAGAAAAATTAAGAAATATGCCAAAGGAAAAGTTAAATGCGTCCCCAATAATACAATTTCCTTTATTTTTATCTTGGTTAACAATTTTAAGAGGCTGTCCATGTATCACCTAATTACAGTTTTGGCGTTTTTGGGCCCCCAACCCCTCTTTACACACCTTCTTTCCACACAAAAAAAAAAAAAAACAATTGGCAAATAATGAAGTATTTGTACACGACCAACAGGTTATGTTTCACTTGAATTAATTACAGCAAACGGTCATTTAATGGGACGTAAAGAAGTATGCAAAAGTAAAAGATTATATTAATAATAAAGACAGGTGGGGGACGCCGTGAATCAAATTGTTTAAACATTTGCATTTGTTTAAACAATATGAGGCACGTGTAATAAAGAGCGTGAGAATCAATTGGTTTGAATATTTGATGTTCTTTTAATATTATCAATGCGATTTGAATTTTAAATGACAAAAATCGGTTACAAAATGTCTTAAATCTGTTGTGGAAATGTAAATTAAGTATTCTTTTAGCAAAAGGATATCAGTATTATCTTGATTTTTTGGATATACATATTTCGTGCGTGTGTGTGTACATAGCAGTACACATTTGAAAACAAATGAAAAGATTTGCGATATAATCGATTTTTTAACCGCGCATTTTAAATTTTTTGTGACTGGTATTTTCATTTTTTCCCCTGCGCGGTCACACTTAAAATGCTACATACACTCATTTACGACTTAATGCAAAGTGCGCCAGCAGAACATACATACAGCAGAACATACATACAAACATATGTGGAGGCCGTGACGTCACGCATAAGAGAATTGGAAAATATTGGGGACTTGGTTAAGGAGGCTGAATTTCCAAAAAATTTAAATGCAGTTAGTTGCGGCTATGCCATAAGATTATGATCATAATTTTTTGAAACCATTTTAACAACATATATAACAGAAAAATGGCAAAAGAAAGAATTAAAAAAAAAACGAATCGAATTTTGGGGCACTTTGGGGTCGTTTATTGTTTTAATTTGTACCTCACACACGTCTCCTAATTATTTCAGAATTATGCGGATTTTTCTAGATTTTTATGTCAATCCGCTCTGGTAGGAATTTACCACTGACCCATTTTTTATTCGAAGACTTTTATATAGTAGTTTAGATTAGATAAAGACAGGTGGGGGACGCCGTGAATCAAATTGTTTAAACATTTGCATTTGTTTAAACAATATGAGGCACGTGTAAT